GTGGCCTTGTGCTCTTCCTCTGGTGCACTGTATTCAAACAGCCTTCAGAGTAAGACATGTTATCTCTATTACCTTCTGTGCTATTGCTGCTCATGGAGCAAAGTGGAAGTGCCTTCAGCAGTCATATGACAGCCTGAAAGACACTTAGATTTTTTGAGAGCTTTGATTTGATCACCCTAGTTAGATTTAGGATATAGATTTTCTTTAATCTCTTAAAGCTGATCCTATACCTCTAAGGATTTAGAGGTAGCTATAACTGTTACAGTTAGCTCTTAATATCTAGGGAACTTCTTTTTGGTTTGTTTTAGCATTTAGATACCTTTGTCAAGAGTATTACCTTAAACTTCTTTGTGGACCTTATAGAACTGCTTACCTGGAGTTCACCTGGTTATCCTGACAGATAGTTGAACATGAGTCAGTAACATGCCCTTGCCATAGAAGATGCATGGTATTCCTGAATGCTTTAGACAAAGCATTGCCAGCAGGTTGAGAATGGTGATCCTTCCTCTCTACTCAGCACTGTTGAGTTCATATCTGGGGTGTTAGGTACAGTTCAGGGCTCCTGAGTACAAGAGGGATGTGGATGTACTGGAGAGAGTCCAGTGAAGGGCTGTGAAGATGATCAAAGGCCTGGATCATCTCTTGTGTGAGGAAAGGCCAAAAGAGCTGGCTCTTTAGCCTGGAGAAGAGAAGGTGTAGGGGGAACTCATCAGTGTGTATAAATACACAAAGGGAGGGTGTAAAGGTGACAGATACAGGTTCTTTCCAGTGGTGCTCAGTGATGATGCAAGAGGCAATGGGCATGAACAGGAAACACGGGAAGTTCCATCCCAACATCAAGATCGCTTTTTGACTTGAAAGGTGACCAAGCCCTGGCACAGGTTGGTCAGGGGGTTTATGTAGTCTTAATCCTTGGAGATAGATATTCAAAAGCTGTCTAGACATCTTTTTGCAAAAGGGGGCTTGGGCAAGATGACTTTCAGAGGTCTTTTCCTACCTCAACCATTTTCTGATTCCTGTGAAATAGCATTTCTTTGGTACTGTCATTACTGCTTTCCAGCAAGGACCTAGGTGAATTTTTACCCTTCTTGACCTCAGTGTAAACAACTAGTTTTCTTTTTTCCTGGTGTGCCTTGCCTTGGCTTGCTGCTACATTCATCTTTAAAGTCAATGTATTATTATACTTGTGTCATTTTAAAAAAAAAATTACAGTATATTCTTATCTGATACTCATCTCAGGCAGTTTAAATGCTTCTGCTTCTTTTAGGCTTTAGGGAAAGAAGGCAGGCATCCAGCAGAGCTTAGGTCAATTCGGAGGTCAGAGCCCAGGAGAACACTTGCCCTCTGGAAAGGCTGGGTCAGAAGGCAGCAGCCATTTCACCAGGCAGCCCAGTGGCAGGTTTGGTGCTGGAGTGCAGGAGGGTACTGTGATACTATAACAGAGCACAAAACACTGTCACAGTGCAAGTGCCCTAGCTAATGACTGTAGGTGATAGTCCTTAGGGAGAAAGCTAAAACCTGTCTGTGTAGTACAATATACAGGTGTTCAAGTAACTTGGTCTGTTGACTAAAAAGAAAATATATTAGATTCGGGGATCATCTCTACCACTTGCACTTTGTGGCTACACCTTGGCTGAAATTTAGGTATTTGTGTGGAGACAGTGGAGACTCTTGATGAAACTCTCCAGATTTAGTGAAGTGTTGGAACTGAAGCTAACCCACTGTGGGAGAAGGAGAGGAAGAGTCCTTTTGTGAATTGAATTATGATTTAATGTTATACCACCAATAGGGTGTACTGGTATTACTGGCATAGTGTCAGGGCTAAACTCTCTTGTGCCTGGAGCAAGTATGTTTGGTGATGAGCTCTTGTTGTGCTGGCAGAAAAAGAGCCTTTCATTTCCTAGTAACCCCTTTGTTTAGTTAAACATACCCTGCAATAAAACATTATGTAATCTGGTTAACATAGAGAATATGTAAGTCAATGCAGAACACTGCCATATCCACTGATCTTTATAGGACTGAACAAAAGCTTGCTGCCAGAGTTTCTCTCCTGGCCAGGGCACCTAAGTTGTGCTGCTTTTGATCTGTGGTCTGTGTAACTATATCTATGAGAATATTGGGTAACAGTACAGTACTGAGACATCCATTTTATGGCTTTTGAAGTTTTTTTATTATGGGTGGGAATTGTCGTCTTGAGTTCCCGTAGGACTTTTCAGCCTGCATGTGTAGATAGATAGAAAAGATCCTGTTCATGCAGAGTAGTAGCTTTCACTGATGCATACTTTTCTTTCCTTCTGTGGGAGCCTAAGGAGGATTTTCCTGTTCTCAAGATGCAATGAACTGAAATTCGTTAGAAAAAACTGAAAATTGTTAGAAAAACTACCAACAGCTGAAGCAATCTGTTAAAACCATGGAACCACAGAATGGTTTGGGTTGGAAAGGACCCTGAAAATGATCTAGCTCCAATCTGCCTCTCATGAGCAGGGATACCTTCCAGTAGACCAGGTTGCTCAAAGCCCCATCCAACCTGGCCTGGAGCACTTCCAGGCATGTGGCATCCACAGCTGCTCTGGGCAGGCTGTTCCAGTGTCTCACCACCCTCACAGTAAAGAATTTCTTTCTAATACCTGATATCAAATATAAACACTGCGAAAGTGGAGTAGATCTGTGAATGGCCTGGTGGACTGACCTGCTAACCATGCTTCTTTTGATACAGCCCAGGATAGAGTTGGCTTTCTGAGCTGCAAACACATGTTGCCAGGTCATGTCTAGTTTTTATCCACCAGTATCCCCAATTCCTTTTCCTCAGGACTGTTCTCATCCCATTCTCCACCCAGCCTTGGGTATTTGTGCTTGCAAGTATTTGTCCTGGGGACCTTGCACCTGGCCTTGTTGAACTGAAACCCTGGGGTTCACACAGACCCAACTCTGAAGTGTGGCACCCCTTCCCTTCAGCTTGCCAGCTGCACCACACAGTTTGGTGTCATCAGCAAAAATAAGATGCACCACAGGTGTTAACAGGACAGGTTATGGATTGTGTGATAAGAGGAGAACATTTCCCTTCTGCTTTAAAAACATGTTTTTCACTTGTTCAACCTTCTTGGCAGTTGGAGAGAAGGAGCTTATTTTGTGGCAGCATTTGTCCAATTGGTACAGAGCTTTAAAGTAAGTAATATAGCTTTATGAGTGCCTGATTGTATCCATTGTCTGTAAAGGAAAAATAGCTGACTAGCTGGATGCCATTATGGAGTTATTTTCAAATAATTTCACTTTGTGTGTGCCCTCCTGAATACTTAAGCTTTTAAGAATTAAGATTGTGAAGGAGCATTTGTTAATTAAAACCTCAAGCTGACTAAACTTCTTAATATAACAGAGAGCAGCAAAAGCATGTCATGAACATTCCCCAAAAGCTAAAAAACCCCCTCCAAATCAATAAAATGATACGTTTGGGGTTGTATCTTCAAATTTAATTATTGGATTAGCTAAAGTAGAATAGAGCTTGCTTGCTTGTGGAAGCACCCTTCATAATAACCTCACTGCATTTGCAAATAAGAAAATTCCCCTTCCCTACGTTGGTTGGAAAATTATTTCAAAGCCTTGGGGCTCAGATGGTTAGAAGCATTCTGTAATTTTCAAAATAAATCTGTTCTCCAGTTTCATACTTACTTGACTCTTTGGCAATATCCTTTTGCTGAGAGAGCCCTTTTCCTTCCTTTGTATTTATTTTGGCATTTAACAGAAGCAATATTGTTCACTTTCAGCCTTCATTTTGCCAAGAAAAATAAGGCAAGCTGGCTATCTACTCATAAGCTAAACAGCTTGGGGGAAGGTAGTTCTTAACCATTTCTGCACCTGCTTTACTGTTTAAACATGAGCAGATAGAATTTTTTCCTTCCTTTATCCAGAAAACTTCTCTGTAGCCTTTGGGAGCGTGCTGGATTAGGAGTCTTTGGGACCACAAATGATCATGAATGCTAAGAATTAGACCTGAGGGTACCTGTCTGATGGTGCTGCTCTTGAGACTAACATAAGGAAGGTTGTAGTTATGTGAACAGATGGAGGAGCAGAATACACCGGGAGCATTGACAATAAAAATTTAAAGTTAAAAAATGTTAAATATAAAAAGGGGTTAAAAGTGTTTTAGGCTGAATGTTCCTGTCAGCAAATACCTGTTCAGGTAACTTGAGTATGGTTACAAGTTTGTGTAACCAAAAAAAGCTGAAAAACTTTTTTAAAACCAGTGCTCGCATTTGTTTGTAATGCCACTCATTTTTCATCCTATTTAAAAGAGTTTAGTGTTTCTGCAAATTGAATATGCATGCAGTCTGGTGTTGCTGAATTTCCTGCTAATAAGAGAACCTAAAATGGGTATGTGGGGGAGAGATAAGGAACAGACATCAAAAATCATCCCCTAGTTCTGCATCTCCTGTTTGGGTGTGGAAGGTAAGGGTCGAAGTGTCTGCTGCTCTGGGAAATAGAGCTTTAGGGTGGATTCCTTTTCTGTGGTAATGGCATCTTTCCTTTTATTAAATGCAAATTAATAGCTTGATTATCTCCTTTCAGATGCCTACTATTTCTAATTTACATGAATACATCTAGCCATGCTTTCCAGTTATGTGCCACCTCAATTAATCACTCAGGTGCTTGAGCAAGGTCCTCCTCAGTTCATTGGACTAAGTCATAGAAAACTTTTAACTTTGCAATTTTTTTAGCACGCAGTTGTTTTGTTAAACTGTTTTTAATGGTTCCTTTTGTGGTTTACTGGCATATGTTAGGGTAATTAGCGAGAGTGTATTAATACTGAATATTTTTTCCTGAAGGAAAATTCTAATTTGCTTTACATAATACAAAACCAAAAACCAATTATAATAAAACATGGAAAGCAGTTGAATAAATGGTTATTCTTTTTAGTGAGATTTGTTTTCATGAGTGTCTGTTTCCTGAGACAGACCTTGAACCAGAAGATCCTGTATATTCTGATTATCTGTTTGCCCTTTTCCCATCCTCCTGCATTCAGGATGTTCCTCAGGTTCCCTGGAGGGACTGTGATGTGTATTCCCACCTTACCCTTCTGTCTTCACTTCACCTTCTTTTACTAAAACTTTCCATTAGCTTGATGCATAGATTAAGCACAATATGCTGTTGCACAAGTGTCGGTTTAGCAGTTGAGTTTGTAATTTAGCTGCTTCCTGCCTCTTCACCCCACCCAAGACAAAAGGAAAGAAGAAAATTGTCCTCGGACTAATTCTCTGATCAAACGTTTGTTGTGGCTGGTGGGAAGGGCAGAGTGAGTGCAGCTTTGTGGAGGGTGGGACCACAGGGTTTTGTCCCTGCACGATACTGACTCTGCTGTTTTGAACAGGTAAGCACACAGCCTCCTCACCCACTGCTGTCTTGTTTGATGGAGGTCTTGGAGAGCGAGAGGGATGGGCTGTAGCTGGACATCTCAATAGGCATCCCAGTTTGATCTGCACCTCTCCTGAAACTTGCTTAACAAATCAATGGTTAAAGCACTTTTTTTCCACCAAGTTTTGCTTGATTCCAGGGTGTGTGCTTGTCTCACGAATGACTTTAAATATGCTGTGAATACTAAGATTCACTGTAGGTTTCATTCTCTTGCAAAAAAAAATACGAAATAGGAAATGCTTAGAGAATGAGGCATTGCTTTCTGTCTGTGTGTGGTGACCCCCAGCTGAGTGCCCGCTGTGCCACAGAAGGTCCTGGCTTGCACGTCCTATTTCATTTCTGTGTTTTGGTTCCACAAAGCAATACATGGCTGTTTCTGGAGTTATGCTGGGAAGCCCTCAACTCTGGCTGCCCCAGGATAGCTTTGTTTTGTACCCAAACAGCTGGTGTGCATGTGCCTGTGGGGTGGGAGCGGTGTGCTGCTGGGAACTCTGGAACAACGGGAAATACAGGGCAAAACCTGTGGCTTTCTTGTTTTTGCATAACTCTTCCTTATTTGTAGAAGTAAGTGCTTGCCTCTGTGAGTAGTTTTTGTTTTGGCCATTTTAGCTGGAACTGTTCTCTCATATAAGTTGATTTCTTTGGGTAAATGTTCATGTTTTGCACGGTCCTGTCAAACGCAGGGGTTACCGTATAAGACTATTTAGCCTCTTAAAAAGGAGGAAAGAGAAAGCGTAGCTCTCTACTGGATTTCAGTCCGTGGAATTACATTATTTTATTTTTCTTTTCCTCTCCAGGATCTCGAGTAGCAGGATGGAAGAACTCTAACTGATACAGAGAACAGGCCCTTTCAACATGGAGAACATTCCTGTTGATTCGGAACTGGATAGAAATTCAGTGAGTAACTTAAGTGGGTAATGAGATGAATGTGAAGATGCTTTTGCAGGGAGAGGGTTAAATGACTTGAATCTGTTCACTTTGGATTTGAATTTATACTTTTCTGGTGAATGCATTTAGAATATCATGTACTGTCATGTATCATTTACTAGATTCTTCTGGCAGGAGGGCTGAATGTCAGAATACTTTCGAATTTTGGATTTGATTTTTAGATTTTGTCTCAGTCCCGAAGGAAGAAGGTATTTCTCTGTCTAATTGGCACTTTGCTAGTTAGTGACTATGGACAATAGAAAAAATAATGTAGTTCTTGGTGGAATGAGGAGCAGAGAAGATAGGAGTGATAATTATGGTGTAAGAGTTGATAATCTGCACTGATTATAAAATTTTTGAGGCAGTGAAACTCTTTCTAAGCACAATTTAAAAACAGGAAAGGCTAGTGGGTACTATTGTGCCTCATCATTATCATAAATGTTGAAATTATGTAAGAGTTTGGTTTTTCCACAAGCTGTGTCATGTAGAAGCACTTCAATAGCTGAAGCAGGAAATGTTTTTAGTTTCCAAAGCACTACCTCCCAAAGGCAAAATAGGATATGTTTTTCTGTAACTGAGGTGAAGGTCAAATTTAGCACCTCATTACTGACAAACTTTATTTGTGATAGTTAGCTACTACATGGAGCTACTAATTTGGTCAAGTGTTTTATTACTGTTTTTATCTTAATTGGTGAGTTTGGAGATAATTAATTCATTACAAAAAAAAAGCCAAAAATTTTCCTAATGCATTGCAAAACAGTTTAATTTGTTTGCTGTGTGGCCTGTGCATTTATATCCCAGATTCAGCAGGCTATGAGTATCAATTATCAACTGTGCAGTAGGGTATTTTCATTTTTAAAAAAAATGCTGTTGGTTCAGTTGCTATGCTTCTTGTTTCCTCAAAATATATTAAAAAGTACGAGTTTACAAAACATTTCAAAGCAACATAAAATGTGCTACTTTTCTTTTTGTGACATGCCTTCAGAATAGCATGATCTTAAGAAGGTTCCTGAAAATGAGTCTCTGTTTTACCAAGACTCCTTTAGAAGAATTCTAAGTGTAAGGATAGATTGCCTTTCATCCTATGTGCTTCTGAAATGTCATCTCAGAATAATTTTCTTTTAACTGATGATATATTGTTATAGGGTACTCTAAGCATTTCTTATCAAAGACTCAGCCAGTGGAGTAATTGCCTGTCTGAATTGCAGTTGCAATGTCAAGTTTTGTGTGTTGCACTACAGGTGCTAAAAACGTTTTTGAAGGCTTATTTGGTAGGCTAATATACAGCCTAGTGTATATAATAGTAAAAAAAAGTGAAAATTAAATATTAAAAATACCATATGTATTGACCATACCGTACCATTGAGATTGATCCAGAAGTTTTGAAGACCTTTAGTCAATGCAAATCCTGACACTTCCCAGAAATCTAAATTTTTTGAAATCATGTTTAAAATTTTTCAGTATTCCAGACTTTGAGGTGCAATCTGTTTGTTTGGGGGTTTTTTTTTAAAGTTTATCATTGTCATGATAAAATTCATGAAATACATGTGTTGCAATGTGCATGAGGAATACTGATCACCTCTTTTCTCCACTTTTAAGTCCTTTGGGATGTTTCTAGGAGGTATCTGAAAAAAACCTTTTTTGTCAGCTTTCTAATTTGCTTTTTTGGCTTGCTTGTAAAAGAACAAGAGATGAGGAGATCACAGACCTTAATGCTGTGCTCTTTCCAGAATCAGTGTACAGAGAAAAGTCTTATATTAAGTGCTCTTCCTAACAATTAGGTTGATATGTACTGAATATAAATTTGAAGATAAAGGCTGTGACAGCTCAGCAAACTATTTCTGTAGTCTGGCACCATCAAAACAGTGTGAAATAATAGATGCTTCGAGTTCTTGTTTGAGAACAGTTTTTGCCTACTTTTCTATGAAATAATTTAATCAAGTCTCACTGTCCCAGAACTTAGAACATTACATGGAAACATATGGTATAAACCCTTCTTTTTTGAAATACATTTTTTTGTCATTTTTAGTCACTTCTAATTTTTGCTAAGACACATATTAAATATTTTGCCTGTGATATAACTTGTACAGCCAGTGTCAGTCCTTGCTACTTAATACATCAACAGATATAAAAGTACCTATTTTCCTTGAAGCACTGAATAGAGGTCCTTTTTATTGATCAGATTTGTAGGTTGAGTCAGTGGTCCTGAATTTAAATCTAACTGGATTCATTTTAATGGTTTACACGTATCAGAGACTACCTTTAGGGAAAGTCTTTCTTCAGCAAAGTGAAAACTCAAACTTGGTTTTAGAATGTTCATTTAAATTAAAATTTAGCTGTATATTTTGATTGTAAACTAGTGTTTTGAGAAAACTTTTGTAATATGAGATTCAGACATGCTAGCATGACATATGCTTTTGCTTTTACCCTAATATTCAACAGGAAAAGGATTTTGTTTTTAAGAAGAACTTGGCAGATACAACTTAAAATTTAGTAGCAGTTGTTGTAAACTTTATTTCTGAGAAATGAATATATAAAAATAATGTTTTTTGAAGCACGTGAGCTGCCTTTGTGTGCAAACAATTATATCTTCTGTCTCATGTGGTGCTTTATTTTGCTGAATTTATATTGCTGGTTTTGCTTCTAAGTCTTAGTCGAAAACTTTACTGGGAGGAGGACTAGGCTTCATCTTCTTTGGTAGCAACATTTTAAAGAAATTGTGCCTCTGTAGAAATTAAATTGATGACACAGTGTTGAGAACTGTCAAAAGACTTGTTCTGTAATCCGTAATCAAAGTCATCAATTATATAATAAGGGTAGCCTCTGGGAATATGTGTATGTTTCTCATAATTTTGTATATTTAGAATAAGAGTTGTGGGTGGTGATGGACAGGAATGTCCTGAGAGCTTTCCTTTCAGAGAAAGCCCTGAAGTAGTAAAACGGTCATGTTTTGCTCCCTTATTTGTTTGGAACCCCAGTCTACAGTGATATGAATTGCAGATGATAGAGGTGCAGTAGGCCATTGGAAAATGAAAAGGTCTTTTTGGCCAAAATAGTTTCATTTCAGTACCTTGATGTCTTACACCAAGGTTTAGAAATATATATTCTGCAGGTTTTAGGTAAATGCACAGACTCAAATACCTGTGATGAAGAGAGGGAGTTGATCAGCAACAGAAGGAGTTTGGTGTGTAAACAGAATGCCAGTTAAACAGAAGATCAAGGACAGAGTTAGACAGGCTTGTGTTTCAGCCTCTGGCATAGGAGCTGTTTGTACCAGTTCATAGGATTAACCATGCAATGCTAAAATATTTACATGAAAAGCCCCTGCATCATCATCTCGGGTGACAGGTTGCCCTGCTCTCTGGTGTCATGTTGTATCTTGGCCAGGGCTGCTTGTGGGGCAGGCAGTGAGACAGGACCTGCTGCGGTGCCTTTTCACTCTTATTTCTTCCACATGTGAGTAACACACTGCCAGTGAGCATCTGGCTGAGTCTCAGGTACCTCTGATGCTGTGTGTCTGTTTACAGTGTATTTCTCCAGTTCTGTTTCTTGCATTCCAACTCCCAGTGACAATAAAGCGCCCAGTGCTGAATAGCCATGCTCCCAGTCCCTCAGTCAGTTGCTGGATCTCTGTACAGCTTCTGCAGGCTTCTTGTTTTCTTGTCAGCCACTATTCTCTTGAATCTAAAATCAGCATAGGGTAGGACAGTTCCAGTCTGAACATAAACTGTTTCCTAGTCTGCTGTATGTTATCTGTACATTAAGAATAAACACTTTGCCTTGAAAACCATTGAATTCTTGAATGCATTTCATATACTACTACCCAAACCTGTCTGGTAAGTTCATGAGTTTCCCTCTTGGACCTGAATTTAGTCTCTAGCAGGAATAGAAGTTTATTTGCCGGCTGTGCTTATATTTTATTTCAGTTTTCCCTGTTCAGTAAGGTCCTGTTCCAGAAAGTGGAGAATTATGAAAGAAGGGTTCCCTCACCTTTCCAATGATGTGTACTGCAATTGCTATATATTCATTGCAGTACTTCCCATTTGCACATTGCACTGTCAATTTAAAATTTAACACGTTTAGGCAGATGTGAGGGATTAAAAAAAAAAATCAGTATTTTGAGGTCAGGAGTGCAAGACAAGATTTCTGCTTGCAAAGATTTTGATTATGATTTTTCTTTTTTACATTTCCTGCTGTTAAGTCCTGATAAGAGAGGCAAGATTGAATCCTCTTTAAAGCAGAGCAAGGATTTCTTTACTTTTTGGAGTGCACGTTTTTTATTTGGGATTTAGAAGATATGTCATGTTTAGATTTATTTTATTTTTAAGGAGGAAATGTTCATGCTGATCAGTGTTCTTATTTTCTCCATTTCTATTGTTCACAGATTTCAAAAGTTATAAATCCTTAAAGATATAAGTGGAATTTGCCTTTTATCTGTACATGGCTGAGCACAGTGGGATCTTAGCCTTGATTGTGGTCTTGGTTAGCAAGGATTTTAAAAAGATTCCAGATCAAATATCAGAAAGGCAATCCTTTATTGCCTGTATTTGATGCATTCAGTGGGAGAGAAATTTTATGGCTCTATGGAAATACTTAGATATAAAATATCCTCTTAAATTTAAAACTGCTGTTTGTCTTGCATCCTAAGCAATTTCAAATGTTATCTGTGTTTGTAGATGAGCTGAATCTGTGGCTTTTAAGTTTGTGTTTGTACGCAAAAGCAGTTAGGCTTGGATCTAGCATTAGTAGGTGCTTGCTCATTACTTATGGCTTTAAAGGTATTTTTTTCTCTTCCAAAACACTTTTCTGAAAGTGGAGTGGTTTTGGAAACATTTTGTGTTGTTTCAGCTTTCTTGAGGGCTTCAGTCTTTTGAAACCACTCCAGCTTAAAATTTCTTTTAAAAAATGCTGTCATACAAGGACTAAATTGCTGCTGGAGAATTTCCACCCAGAAGTGGTTGAGGCAGTTGCTGTTTACTAATGATGGCTTCTAATAATGGCTTTTCTATAAGCATATTTGTCAGATTTGTTGCTTCAACTTTTCTGAGCTGTGGAGTCTCTTGAGGTCTTGCCTTTGGCATTGAGGTGCATGTTGTATTTTAGTTATGAACTAACACTGTTTTCATTGTCCTTCTTTCCCGCTGCTGCTGCTGCTTTTTGTGCATTTGCTTCTTCCTGGCCTGGATTTTTATGTTTGCTGTTCTTCATTCCTCAATTGTATGTGTACACAGCATCATGGTGAGAACAGTGACTCTCCTGGACCATCAAGTAAGTGACTCCTCTCTCCTACGTTATGTTTGCACATATGTTCATAGTGGTTAGCATGTATCTTTGCATATAGTTACTGGGATAAATACAAGGTTTTCTTCTGTATCATAATTGAGAAGTGTGATGAAAATTTGCTGTTGGAAAAGTATTTTCCCTGGCATACCACTCATCCAAATGTTTCCCTACTGAAGCCTTTATTTTTTACTGGGACAAGTTTATTCTTCACCTCTCCTAGTCATGGCCAGGAAAAAACATCATTTATGTTTTTTATCTTTAAGAGAAAAAGCTATTTTTGTCAGTTAGAAATGAAGCTTTGAAATGCTCTTGTAGTGTAGATAATAAAGAAAAGGAAATAATGGTTCAGAAACAGTTTTTTACTTTTGAGATTGTGAATTTCTAGTGCTATGTGTGATTCACGTAATTTCAATAATTTTACATATTCAGAATTGAACAGATGTATATGTGCTGTAGTTCTTCAGGACTGGATCTAGTGAGGTGCTGGGGAAAACTTCAGATGTATGTATGTATGTGCTTACACACAGCCAAAGAAAGACTTACTGGTGCCATTGGTTTGTGGGCATTAGTATGATTGGCAGAGTAGTTTTGCCTGGGATTAAGAGTTTGTGTATGTGGGAAGAAGAAAGGTGCAGGCACAAATTGTTTCTTTTTTCTATAAGAAATCTGTGCAGAAGCTGTAGTTTTAGCTGATATGGCTTATTATCGACATTAAGAAACAATGTTGAATTGAATTGTAATAAACCTCTCCCTGTATATGATATCTTTATGCTATTTTCAATGGTGTAGGCTCTTTCACAGGCTCATTATAGAAACAGAAGTGGGAATCTGACACTTAAGATTTTTTTTATAGGTTTACCTGAAATAAATTGGCTGTAAAGACCCCAATTTATGTTTCTTCTAAGGTACGAATTTTACTGACAAACCGGTATATTAGTAATTTGATGACCAGTATGATGAACATAAACAATGTATTCTCAACTCTCAACAGCCTCTAAAGAGTCACAAGGAGGTTTTGATATTTACTACTTGTTGTTTCTTCTCTAAAATAATGCTTTGTCTTCTCCCTCACCTCAGAGCAAACATCTGAGCATTAGGATGAGGCATTTTGCAGGAGGGGTGACAATTTCCTCCTAGTGGCTGCTATGGTGTGGATAAATAGTTATGTTCTTAACTGATTTATTTCCATTTGTTTAGTACTTTTATGATGCTTTGTATAAAAAGGAGATTTAAAAACTCTACTGCCAATCATTCTTCAGTTTTATAGATGGAATGTCTCAAAAACTCACTTGGTTTAAGAAGTTCACCTTGAATCCCCAGGCATGTGAAGTGCTTGCCACATGGTATTCTATATTAGGTGATACATAGGCTCTTTTCCTACCAGACAGAATTTTTCTGATGGTTCTAGGAGTTGTTGCAGGACCTGATTGACTCCTAATGAAGGAATATGAATTTTACAGTGAGCTTGAAGCTTGTAGTCCCGTTAGTATGACTGAGTCACCATTGCTGAATGTAGCTCATGCTTTAGCAACACTCGTGTGCAGAGCTTGCTTACATTACCCATTGCTCCGGGTTACTGGCAGCTACTGCCTGAGAGATTATTGCAGTGTGACAGCTTAAAGAAACCTTTGGAATTCCCAAAGCTTAAAGCTGAAAAAAGAGTTAGCAGTGCTGCATGCTGCCCATTCACAAACAAGCCTTCTGCACAGGTTACTCAGGAGAGGATTGCTAGTTCAGCTCCTGCTGTGCAGCCCATGGTGTCAGCTGCTGTGGTGGCACAGGGGCTGGTGGGGGCACCTGTAGAGCACAGTAGGCTGAGAAATCCCATCCCTGCAAAAGCTAAGTGGCCAGCGGCTCATCCAAAGGAGTTTTCAGCTAGTTGGCTGAAAGTTGGTCCTCCTTCAGTGCACTGTACACCTTAAATCTTTAAAACAAGTACAGCTCACTCTCCTTGCAGCAGCCCATTTTGTGCAAACCTGTGAAACACGTGTTTTCTTACCCCCTTTTATTTTCACATACAAGACCCCTTTTGTCTTCACATACAAGACTGTACTATACAAGGCACAGGCCCTTCCCAAGACTTCAGTAACTGCCCTGCTGCCCTCTTTCCTTACTTTCTAATTGCAGAACAATAAACAGCTAGTCTGGTACAACAAGAAGAGCAAAATCAGATAGTACTTTGAAATATTAGCCTTCTGGCACTGATAGACTTGAATTCTGAACTGGTAAAATGAGCTCGTTGCCTCCCTTGTCCATTTCCTCACATATTTTTCCTCAGCAGCAGTTCACAAAGAGTATAGTTTGTGCAGAGCTTATCTGATGTTGAAAAATAATACAGGTGGGTGTACTGCAATCTTTGCATTCTTCATAGAATCATTTAGAATGGAAAACACATTTAAGAATCATCAAGTCCAACTGTTAACCCAGCATTCCTGAGTCCACCACTAAACCATGTCCCCAAGTGCTACATCTATACATCTTTTAAATACCTCCAGGATTGGTGACACTTCCCTGGGCAGCCTCTTACAATGCTTGAGAAGCCTCGTGGTGAAGAAATTTTTCTAATATCCAATCTAAACCTCTCATGCTGCAAATTGAGGTTGTTTGCTCTTGTCCTGTCACTTGTTATGTGGGAGAAGCTATCTTTCAGGTAGATGTAGAGAGCAGTGAAGTCAGTCTTGAATCGCCTTTTCTCCAGGATAAAGAACCCCAGCTCCCTCAGCCATCCTCATCAGACTTGTGCTCCAGGCTCTTCACTGTCTTCCTTGCCCTTCTCTGGACACTCAAACACCGTTTTATTTTTCATACTGCTTTGTGTTCATTCCAGGTTTTGCTACAAAATGTTTCCACTACTGTAATGAGTAGTGATAAAGCTAAGAAGGCCTTTGTACTTTGCAGAGTCCATCCAGAGAATAGAACTTGTTTGGTTTGACTCAAATCTTCTGCTGAACTTTTAAGGAAAGCTTGGGAACTCTTAAAATCATCCATGTTGTAAGTTCCAGTCTTTTCTTTAGTTAATATTGCTTGTTTCCCACTTTGAGCAAGTTGTCAGTATATCTGGTTTCGCACGACAGGTGTTACAGAGACAATCATTCTTTGACTATGAAAAAAGGTACAGTTTTGTTGTGTGCAGCTTAATGAAATGTACAAAAACTGTAAAACAGGATGGCTGGCCAGGTGATCCTAGAAATAGGTAAGAAGACACCAGACAAGTCTTTCAGACTGATGAGGTTCAAGGAGAGTAACTCTTCTGCTTTAAGCCTTTGCCTTTACAGAATTGGTACATGATTTGTATTGCTAAGACTTGTTTCTTGTGATGCATATACAGACATTCATCTTAGCTTTCTGGGATGCTGGTACAGCTTGATCTGGCAAGCTGTTTCATGAGTTGCCTGAGTTGTGGCTAGTTAAACCAAAAGCTGTCACAAAAGTGGCAAAGAAAAGAAGTATTTCAGAAGACAAGGAACAGCTCAATGCTGTATCTTTATTAAATATCAACCTTTCCAACCTCATGCTAGTTTTTGTTTTCGTCTTTTGCCTCATGTCTTAGACCAGTCTTACTGGCTTCTTTCTGCCATCCTCTCCAAAACAACTATCTGCTTTGAAAACCTCAATTTTTAGAATTAAATGTTTTGCAACAGAGCAGTTGAATACCAGTTTCATAAATAGCAGTGAAGTTCTTAATAGAAATATATCCACAAGCACGTAACATCGTTGAATGAACATCATTTTGTATTTCAGCAGCGGTAACAAACAGTGATGAACAGCCTATAACTCCAGGAAAAATGAACCAGCACCAGGGGAAGGAAGCCTATTTTACTCCAACCAAAGAGTTACTCCAACCATGTCTCAGTCCAGGAACTTCCCATAGTCATGGTAAGACAAAGTTATTTTTACAGAGCTTTTAAAGAACTTAAATTCTGATGTTAATTCCAAATATGGGTTCAAAATCACTGCCTTTTACAATAAAAAGGTAAGTAAGAAAGCATATTGAAATTTTGTATGTAGTTATTTGTATCTTTATGTGTTAATCTGAAACAGGAAAAAAATGCATTATGTGATGCACTAGTTTATTAAGGCATGCTATGACTTGTTTGATGGGAGAGCAGTCCATGTGATGGTAAATGATTATTTGTGTGTAGTCCTGTAAAATCCACAGTAACATTCTTTTCTCAGTATTCAAGTTGTCTTTATGCAGCAGTGTTATGATGTACCACAAGTGGAACTTTTGTGGAAAGATATTTCAGCATTACTTCTACTGAAAGATCCTTGTCTTTAGAAAAAGAAAAAAACCCCAAAACTCTCAACACTCTTCTTTGCCAGCTTTCAAGTGGTCCCTCTGCCTTGCTAAACCTGTTGAAAACAAATTATGTGGATCCATGAGAACTGACTGGATGGAAAGTGAAACTCATTAGTAGACCTGACATGCTGATAGACTATTCAAGAAACAAAAAAACAAGCAATAGCTGCTCTCCTTGTGCTTATTTGCATTTGAAACTACTTGCATTTATTGTTTAGGAAATCACTGGACATCTTTCTTGGGGTGTGTGAAGTTCTTAGTCAAAACTTCAGGCTTTAAAAATTAATATTCTCTTCCCTTTTACTATTGGCAGCCATGCTAGTTGTTCATGTTTCCTTTTAGTTTTTTCATGAGTAGTGTTCCTGATAGGGTTTTATATTTTTAGCTGTTTTTGGTGTGAGTCTCCCTAACTGCCATAGTTAAAGTAATGATACCAGTATTTCAGAGGCAGTGTCTTAGGTAACTTTGAATCATATTCCTATTTTCCCATTCAGTTCTACTAGACAAGAAAATACTTTGAAACAAAGACAGTTGTTGCTATGCTGAATCTGATAGTATTTTAGTATATTTTAAAGTTATTATGGTAGTATTTTTGGTACTACACACAGCAAGCTTGGATATATTTTCTAATTCCTGGTGTTATCTCACTGGAACAGCACTTGATGTCCTCTGGCTTGTGTCAAGCTTAGTCTGGAAATATTTTCTGTATAATATAAATATAGCTTGTTTGCAATTTTTGTTATGTTGAAAGAACTTTTGGTTATTTTATCTCTGTGCTGTGTGATATCCTTTAGTAGACAAATGCTGGAGTTATGTAACTGAATATTCTAATAAATGATTTCTTTTATAAAGTCAAACTGTTGGTTTTTTCAGGGCTTTCACTCATAGGAAAATCATTAAAATGGGCTTGAAAAGCACTAAGACTTGATTGTCCTACATCAAACTCCTTGTAGATATTAAGTTTTCTCTCCAGATTTTTTTTTTCTTCTGGTAGTGAATTTAAGACGGTTAAATGTGTTAGTGCCTTTTTTAGCATCGTCACTGACTTAGTTTTCCAGGTGCACTACTAGATATAATGCTGTACTTTCATGAAACAAGAAATTTGGATTGTACAAACAAGAAATTTGAAATGGTACAATGTGGACTAAGCTTCAACAACCAACAGTTACTGTCTTGCAGCCTATCTACAGCTTGGGAGATGAATTTTATGTAGTGGGTTGACCAACATTTAAAAATCAGATTAATATTCGATGGTAGTTACTCCTATGGCAAAATTACAGTGCTGGTGAAAATGTAAGCTCATTACATTGGATAAGAGATGTAGTGGAAGCCTGAAAAATATGAAGTAGAACAGAGCTTAATGTGATGGAGTACTTGAGGCTGACTGTTAACCAAAGTCTTTATTATGTGCCTGTGGTGCCATATAATGAGATAGGAAATGTTTAAATAGAGAATTTGAAGGCATTTACAAGGAACTAAATGAAAATACTTTTAGTCACTGACACTTGAAGTCATCCTTAGGACATGAGTAATGTAAATAAACAATTCAATATCATGTTAGGCACAGAATAGCAGAGAATCAAAACAGAAAAATGTATGATACCATCTACAAAGAACTGATTAAATATATATAAGGGAGGACTCTGACACAGGCACTTAGCTTTTGCTGCTGGGCAAAATGATGTTGTGCAGTGCTATTTGGCCATTTTTACCTAGGTTGTTTCTTGCTGCCTGAATAAAAAAGCACCTGTGTTGCAAGGCCACTTTGGTGTAGGACTTGTAACTCAAAACCAGGTGAGTTGGAATGAAGCAAAGCCTGTGATGGGGCAGTCTCTGGAACAAGTGGCACTAACTTTGGTGTTAACATGGAAATTACTATGGTGGCTGTCCAGGACTCTCTAGGGAAAAGCAAGCTCAGTGACCATTTTTTGGGAAAGCTACTGGAACAAGCTTAATTTGTGTTATCTGCTTGTGTTTTAAGTAAGGTCCTAATGACAAGTATTACAAATATGGTTAAAACTACATGAGTGTTAATGTGAGGGAGGGGAGATAAACATTTAACATCAGTTTTAGCCACTGACTTCCTATTTGGAACAAAGAGAACCATTTAATATGCCCATGTAAAGTTGTAAATGTTACGTATTTTATCATTTTAGATGCTGCTATTTATAAATGCTTTGTTTTCATTTCTGACCATAGCTTTGGATTTCAGAATGCTTCTATTTTCCTGTACTTGGTGTCTAAGACATGTCTTCCTCCTCCCTCATTCCTGTAACTCTTGTGAGATGGAGTGTAGTATGTTGTGTGAGACAGAGATGTGGGTCTTCTTGGAGTCCAATACAGATTTATTTTGCAAATGTAGGGTACTGTTTGATATGGCAACATTGTCTAGTGATTGTTCAGCAAAAGTCTATTTAATATGTCACCGTTCTATATAATCTTTGCACTGTTTTACAAAATATTTTTAAGATCCTTGAAGTTACGCTGTCCTTTATTCTGAGGCTGAAGTAGCTTACCTGTGAGACTGGCATGTGCAGTGTGGAGGTCACACTCACTTCCATAGGAAGCTTTAGCAAGGTTGTTTGATGGAAATGTATTTAAACAAAAAATGGGGGATGGTGGAGGTTTTTTTCCTGTATGATTTTAACTTGTTTATGTAGAAAGTTTAGAATTTTAGTGACTGAACTAACTTGGCCATATATAGCATTGATCCTGAGATGGGCTTTTAGTTTTAATTTTTATGGATTTAGTTTATTCCTGCCTTGCCCATCAAGTAGTTAACTAGAGTGTCAGAATAGCCTAGTCCTGATCATAATGCTACAACTAATGTGTCTTGAGCATACTAAATGATTATACTATGGGATTTTTTTCTCAATATTTTATTTAGACTTGTCAGACTTGGAATAGGACCTAAATAATTCAGTAGCCTTTTGATGGAAACTTTAATGAGCTTGGGGAGTTGGCTTTATCTGTGAAGCTCTACTCATGTTTGTGGGATGATGTGTCTTTAGGCTCTAGTGGGCAGCATGGTGTTGCCAACTCACCAAGACCATATTTTTAAAGTGCATATACATGTTAGTACTACTAAATCATCTTTAGTTCTAGCAGCTGACACAAAGTACGATGCTAATTCAGCTGATTTTCTGTGTTTGTATTCAGTGGTTAAAAATGTTATTAATTATTAATGAACAAACAACTAAACTTCTATCGAGCTTGCTTTTGGAATGTTTCCTTTTTAACCTAGCATAGATGTGACCAAAAGGAATAATTGACAACATTATTTTATTGCAGTTTAAAAATTAGCATTAAAAATACCAAGTACAAGACTGCATTTTCAAAAGTTATAGAGCAGAGCTCTGCTTGCTGATGTCATCTGTTTATGTCAAATTGTCCTTGGTAAATTGAATTCTTGTAAATCTTATTAATTCAGGCATACTGATTTATTTCTTCCATAAAATTAATTAATGCAGAAATAGTGATCGCATAAAATTTATAAAAAATCTCCTTATAAATGACTAATAATACTTTTAACTTACCAATTTTTTCTTAAAACATATTTCAAACTTTTTATGAAGACAGCATAGATGCTTAAATAGCAATATTTGTGGTAAACAGAGGAATCTAGTTAAGATAATATTATTAAAAATTCTCTAATTGAATGCTTGAAAATGTCAGACTTTTCTGTCTTTTTCCTGTCTTTTTTCAAAACATCAGTGAGATGAGGATGAGGTGAAAATGTGTGTCCATGTGGGATATGTGTGCCCAGAAGGAGCTTGACAGGAGATAAGAAACAGGATCTGCCTTTAGTTGTTAATTCAATTTGCAATGCGATTAAAATATATTGTGTTACGTGACTTAGAAACAGAAGTGGCTGAGGTGCAGGGAGGAGGGTTGACAATGGAAACAAAATTACTTTTGCCAGTGATGATGATGATGTTCACCATGAATTGTAAGGAAGCGAATGTGATTTTGAGGAAGTGTAAGGGCATTTTTGGCTGTGCTAAGCTTTACTTTAAACAACTCCAGAAGAAACATTTCTAGGATGTGGTAGCGCTAGGATTTTAATCCACAAGATGTTGCATTTTTGGAGAAAATAGGAATTTAAGTATTTTTGTATGTGAGAGAAGGTTGAAAATGAAGAATAGGCATTTTCAAGCAATAGATTCTAAAGGACCGTTATTAGCTGTTGAAGGCATGAGATGCCTTTGGAGCCTTAATGATCCAGAAAATAGCAAACGCAGGTGTTACTACTGACTGTGTACCCAAGGCAACTTACAAGTTAAAGGTGATTTGTTGTTGACCTGTGCAACTTGCAACTTAAAGAAACCCCATTTGTTTCAGTTGTTTAGCTTAGCTGACAGCAGGAGCACAAAATGTTACACTGGGCAGTAACAAAGAGCTCCTGACTCCTCATCCCTGTTCTGGGTTCCTGGTGGTCAATGTGCAGGAAGCCCTGGAGATACAGCAGTGCATCTCCTCTTAACCAGCTGTCAGTGGAAGACAAATTACTGTGGACCAACAGAAGGAAAGATGAAGCCCTGTGACAGTGAACTCGAAGCCTTTTCAAAGCATTAGC